CGGCCACTGCAGCCTCAACCTGCTGGGTTTAGGTGATCCTTCTGCTTCAGCCTTCCAAGTAGCTGGAACTACAGGCATCGCCATCACGCTACCCCTCCCTCTCCTCCCAGTTTTTGTGATTTATTGTAGAGAGGAGGTCTCACCAAGTTGCCCAGACTGGTCTGGAACCCATGGGCTCAGGCAGTCCTCCCACCTCGGCCTCCCAAAATGCTGGGATTATAGGCGTGAGCCACTGCATCCGACCTGTGTGTGTGTGTGTGTTTATTATAAGACAAACAACAAACAGAAAACCCAACCCCCCAAAAAATCTTTCAGCGGGACTAGGTTGGACCAAGATGGGAATTGGAGAGACAATATCAGGCTGGAATGAATGACTCAAGCTTTTGACCCCAACTGCCCTCTGGAAGAGTCCACCTCTAACCCCTGTGTAGCATTCATCTTTGAACCTCACTACCCTCACTACCCCCTGCTTCATTAAATGCACATTCCGTAAATTATTTGTCATCACTCAGCTCCAGTTTTAAGATGTCAGCCAAGATCCTGTTGGCATTTTCACATAATCATTGTCCACAAATATAAAATAAGCAGATTTTTTTGGACTGTTTTTCTTCAAATGGAACCTTGTTTAGACTTTGGTTGACTAGCAATGGAAGTTCCATGGTCTTCAGTAGGTCCTGGATGCATTTATAAAAGACTGGGAATTTAGCTCAGGACTTTTGAGTTCAATATCGAGTGTGAACTCTTCAATTGGCCCACTACATGCTAAGGATCCTTTGAGAAAGAGAATACACTTTCTCAAAATACTCCTGAGTTTGTCTTTGGTTTTAAGTCTAAAACGACGTCTGTATAATTAAACAGCCTGCCAGGGCCTGTGGGGACTGCCTATGGGGTCTGCCAGAAACAAAGGAATTGTGATCCTTGGGGCAAGATGGTCAAGGGGAGACCAGCAAATGATATAGGGTGATGGTGACATGGCAGTTCTGAGGAAGACATGGACAGGAGCTAATCAAGGTCACACACACTTCCCAAAGTGCAATGGCTCATGCCTGTAATCCCCGCACTTTGAGGGAGGTGGAGGCTAGAGGATTGCCTGAATCCAGGGGTTCAAGACCAGCCTGGGGAACTTGGTGAGACCTCATCTCTACAATAAATTAAAAAAAAAAATTGGCTGGGCGTGATAGTGCATGCCTGTAGTTCCAGCTACTTAGGAGGGGCTGAGATGGAAGGATCACCTGAGCCCAGCATGCCAAAGCTGCGGTGGCCATGAGTGTGCCACCGCACTATAGCCTGGGCAACAGAGTGACACTCATTAAAAAAAAAGTCAGCTGTGCTCAGTGGCTCACACCTGTAATCCCACCATTTTGGGAGGTGGAGGCAAGAGGATTACCTGAGTCCATGGGTTCAAGACCAGCTTGGGCAACATGGTGAGAACTCATCTCTACAATAAATCAAACAATTAGCTGGGTATGTGGCACATGTTTATGGTTCCAGCTATCTGGAAGGTTGAAGTGGAAGGATCACCTGAGTCCAGTAGGTCGAGGCTGCGGTGGCCATGAGCATATCACTGTACTCCAGCCTGGGTGACAGAGGGAGACTCTAACTCAAACATAAAACAAAAACAAAAACGAAACAAGTCACATAGAGGAATGGTTTATCCAGATCATGTCCAGTTATGTGTCAGGATTTGAGGTGGAGTGACAAAAGGGGACAACCAGATCTGAAGAGGGAGATGAGGATGGTAGTTCTGGAACACTGGGCAGGAAGGAAAAGGGCCGGGTATGGTATAGAGCTGGAAGAAACCTTCCTTTCTAGGAAATCTGGTATTCTCTGGCTGGCCTCTCAAAGGTCCTAGATAGCAGATCGCAGGTACTTGTGGGAACAGGATGGAGCTAGACTGTGAATCTCTGGAGAGAGAGACTGTGCTTTATTCAACTTTGCATTCCCAAGGCCTGGCATTCTGTCTGGCAGAGAGGATCCTTAAATACATATACTGAACACAGGAGTGATGACTATTAATTTGTTTTGGACTATATAGACCATTTGGGTTCTATTTTCCCTTACTCCCCACATGGTTGGGGAGAAAGCTGAGCTTTATTTTGTGATGCAATGTGTGGCAGATGACCCTTTGTTATAATAATAATACTTTACAAAGGAGATGGGAACTAGTAAGGATAACTTTTTTGTGAAAAGAAACTAGAGATAAGTTTATAGCAGTCACCTATAAGCAATGTTAGGTACCATTTTAAAGTGAGTATGGGCTTCATAAGATAATTCTTACATCTTTAAATAAGATTACATTTTTTATTAGATATCCTTTATTTTTATTTTAAGCCGAAGTCTTACTCTGTTGCCCAGGCTGGAGTGCAGCGGCACACTCACGGCCATTGCAGCCTCGACCTGCTGGGCTCAGGTAACCCTACTGCCTCAGTCTTCTGAGTAACCATAACTACTGGCATGCGCAACCACACCTGGATAATTTTAGATACCCTTTAACTGCAGACAAAAATGTGCCATCACCATACTCACTATGGTCGCCAGAGAACCCCTAATTGCCAAATCCAGTGGGCACTCTTATTTCTTCATTATACTGGATAGACTTTTCTATTGGACTTGACTCTGGTTATTATTCCCTCCTTCTTGACACTACTTCCTTGGGTGCCATAACTCTCAACTATCCTGGATCTCTTCTTAACTGCCTTGAACATACCATCTTGTTCTCTTCTACTCAGCCCTTGGGTATTGGTATTGTTCAGAGCCCTGACTTGAAGCCTTTCTCGCTCTATATTTTCTTTCAGTATACTTGCCATTCTTTTGATTTCAGTGACCCTCTGTGGGCTGATAAGACCCAAATACATGCTTAGAACCCAGATTTCTTGCCCACTCTTAAGTATTGTCTATTCAGCTGCCTTTTGGGCATCTCCAATGTTCCTCCAATTCAATACACCTCAATTGAAATTAATCTTCCCGCCTGAACTGGCTTTTCCTTCTATATTTGCTGGCCTATGTGTTTATCTTTATGACTAGAAATGACAATTAATCTTCTATAAAGTTGGGTGCGATGGCTCATGCCTGTAATCCCAGCACTTTGAGAGGCTGAGGCGAGAGGATTGCCTGAGACCAGGGTTTCAGACCTGCCTGAGCAACGTGGTAAGAGCTTGTCTCTACAGTAAATTAAAAAGTTAGCCAGGTGTGGTGGCATGCACCTATGGTTCCAGCTACTCAGGATGCTGTGGGGGAAGGATCATCTGAGACCAGTGGGTCGAAGCTGCAGTGGCCATGAGTGTGCCACTGCACTCTAGCATGGGCAACAGTGAGACTCCAACTAAAAACAACAAAAAAAAGGTATTGGCAGATAGTACAAAATGAATCTCAAACGGTCAGAAATAGGGAGCTTGAGGCTCTTTAACTTGTTAAGCTAAAATTCCCTAATTAAAGTATTTTATTATATGAAAAAGAAAGATTGCTGTAAGTGACTTGAAAGATGTAATTGATTAGCAGGAAAAGTATACCACAATCGCCTAGGCACCCATTCCAGAAACCTGGAAGTTATTCTTTATTCTTTGCTGTCCTTTGCTGCCCGCATTGAATCACCAATTCCTGCCTAATTTGCCTTACAAACACTTCCAAATTTCATCTTTTCTTTTCCGTGTATGCTCCCACTGCCAGCATCTCTCATCTCATCTGCAGTAGCCCTCCTGCCTCCAGCCCTGTGCCTCCTCAGGTTTTCGCCGACACTGATGCGGATCTAAGACTCTTTGGTATAGTTCTCCATCACTTCCAGGAGAAGTTCCAACTCCCTAACACAATTTATAGTGGCCTCCAAGATGGGACTTGCTTATTTATTTATTTATTTTTTTGAGTTGGAGTCTCACTCTGTCGCCCAGACTGGAGTGCAGTGGCACACTCATGGCCACTGCGGCTTCGACCTGCTGGGCTCCGGCGATCCTTCCGCCTCAGCCTTTCAAGTAGCTGGAACTACAGGCACTACCACACCTGGCTAATTTTTGATTTATTGTAGAGATGAGGTCTCGCCAAGTTGCCCAGGCGGGTCTCGAACCCGCGGGCTCAGCAATCCACTCACCTCAGCCTCCCAAAGGCACGGGATTACAGGCTGAGCCACTGAACCTGGCTTGTGATTTGCTTATTTTACTATGTCTATCACTTGCCATTCCTGCCTTGAAATGTCTACTTGAGGCACATCAGTGCTTGCAGTTCCCTTGGCTGTGCTGTGCTACGTGTCCTGGCTTTTGTCTCTCTCCATGCTGTCTGAATGTTCAGTCCTTGTTCCTGGACAGTCCTTCTTTCCTTTTGGCTTACCTAACTGCTACTTCTCCTTTAAAACCCAGGGGAAGTGTCATCTTCTCAAGGAGATGTCCTTGTCCTTGTCGATGCTCCTATCCCAGAGTGAATTAGGCACCCTTCTTTGATGCTTCTGTAATTCCTGTGTGCCTATAGTCCACTTCCATATGTGTTTTCTAAATATTCCTTAAAGTCTCCCCAGAAGATTATAAGCACCTTGGGGGTAAGAATTGTGCCCTGTTCATCTTTGGATTTCCCATGTTTGTATACTTGGTGGCAGATAATAGGCCTTTAATAGATGTTTGTGTAATTAATGAATAAATGAATCCCAGCATTAGGTTGGTTGATGGAACTAAACAATTTAAAGTTGTTCTTTCTTTACATTTGAATGAGCTTTTAATTGCTTCCTCATAAACCCTTTGAAATCTTTTGTTTTGAGTTGGAGTCTCTGTCGCCCAGGCTGGAGTGCAGTGGCATCCTCACAGCCACTGCAGCCTCAACTTGCTGGGCTCCTGCTGGGCTCAGGCGATCCTCCCGCCTCTGTCTTCTAAGCAGCTGGAACAACAGGCACGCACTACTATGCCCAGCTAATTTTTTGATTTATTGTAGAGATGAGGTCTCGCCAAGTTGCCCAGGCGGGTCTCGAACCTGCAGGCTCAGACAATCCTCTCACCTCGGCCTCCCAAAGTGCTGGGGTTGTTGGCATGAGCCCCACTGCACCTGGCCATCTTTGAAATCTTAAACATGTAATATAGAATTATTGGACTTGACTTTGGTCAAGGTAATTGAAATAATACTGGCACCCAATTTTGTGTCTTTTTATATTTTTGTTTGAGACTATTCATGACTTGCCTTTTGAGAAGTAAAAGATAGCTCTTTAATTTTAAGTGGAAATTGACAGTGTATACTTAAATAAATTATATGGAAATTAAATGAGGAAGTATTAATCTTTTAACCTTTTCCAGATAAAATTATGTCTTTGCCATGAGCAGATTTCAGACACTTAAGTACCTTGTAGAAAAGTCTATGTAGTCTGTCTTTATTAATAGAAGTAAAATTTAGCCCACAGGTATCAGGCTTAGGACAAAATATGAAATTATACTGTCAAAGTGTCAGAAATGGACTGGAAACATTTAACTTGCTTTTCAAGAATTACATGACACATTAAAAATGAAACTATGTTATTAATTAAACAGAAAGAAGGAAAAAGTGACAAGAATGATATAATCAATTATGCATGGTGAAGGGTGGTAATTTTGGTTAATTTTTTTACATGTTATCATATGATAATCTTTGTATGTTTGAATTTTCAAGTGCCAGCTCTAAAGCTGTCATTGTCTACCTTTTAAAAATTGTATTTAGAAGCTGGGCTTGGTGGCTCAGCCTGTAATCCTGAGCCTTGGGAGGCTGAGGTGAGTGGATTGCCTGAGCCCACGGGTTCGACACCCACCCAGGCAATTTGGTGAGACCTCATCTCTACAATAAATCAAAAACTTAGCCAGGTGTGGTAGTGTGTGCCTGTAGTTCCAGCTACTTGGAAGGCTGAGGCAGAAGGATCGCCGGAGTCCAGCAGGTTGAGGCTGCGGTGGCCGGGAGCAGCCACTGCACTCCAGTCTGGGCGACAGAGTGAGACTCCAACTCAACAACAACAACAACAAAAATTGTATTTAGAGACAAAATCTTTTATCTCTAGAATTTTATTTAGAGATAGTTTTATTATATCAACCAGGTTGGAATGCAGTGGAACCATTATAGATCACTGCAGCATCAAACTTCTGGGCTCAAGTGATTCTCCCATGTCAGCCTCCTGATTAGCTGGGACTACAGGCACACACCACCATGTCTGACTTGATTTTTGTTTTTTGAGTTAGTGTCTTCCTCTGTCACCCAGGCTGGAGTGCAGTGGCACGCTTATGGCTACCGCAGCCACAACCTGCTGGGCTCAGGCCATCCTTCTGCGTCAGCTTTCCAAGTAGCTCAAACTACAGGCATGCACCACCATGACCAGCTAATTTTCTGATTTATTGTAGAAATAAGGTCTCGCCAAGTTGCCCAGGCTGGTCTCAAATCCTTGGGCTCAGGCAATCCTTTTACTCCAGCCTCCCAAAGTGCCAAGGTTTTTCTTGTTAAATTTTGATGGCACAATCTAATTCTGTCAGAAAACCAAATTTTCCTGAGCCTAGTATCTTTACTGTACGAAACGCTACAAAAATTTAAGAGAAAACTTTTTTTTTTTCCATTAGAAGATTATATTCTTTTTTCCTTTTGAGTCAGTGTCTCACTCTATTGTCCAGACTGGAGTGCAGTGGCACAATAATAGCTCACTACATCCTCAGACTCCTGGATCTTCTCTCCTCAGTTTCCCAAGTAACTGGGACAACAGGCATACCACCACCACCATCCAGATGAGAGATGGAGATGTTGGCAATGGGAGTATACATGGAAAAGAAGAGAGAAAAAGTTTCATGGAACTTTTTTTTTTTTGTAGAGATGAGATCTCCCTTTGTTGCCCAGGCTGATCTCAAATTCCTGGGGTCAAGCAAATCCCCTACCTTAGCTTCCCAAAGGACTAGAATTACAGGCATGAGCCACTGTGCCCGGCCATATATTATTTTTTTGAAGATCGCATTTTCCCTAAATGATTCACTTTTTATGTGGACAGTTTTGAAAATTCCTTGATATGATAATGCTACCATGTCATGTTAATTACTACCTGAGAGTTACAGAATAGTTTTCATATCATGCTTACAGGCAACAGTTCATCAGATTTTATGCATTTTATTCAGAGGCAAATTTGATAAACTGCTGATGTTCAGCTTCACCTATACTAATCAATATAGGGTCAAACCAAGCTAGCTTAAACTGTCGTTTTCTGTTTATAAAATTGACACATGGTCAATGTAGATAGTTCATGTAATAGAGAATATTATACAGAAAAAATCACTCATTCATATTCCCATCAATCTGGAATATCTGCTGTTTACTGTTTGGTATATTTCCTTCTTATTTATATAAGAATTTCAATGAGGGGACTTATTGACCCTTGATTAATACCTATATCTGCAAAATTTTTTGTTTCATTCATCCTTTTAACCATAGAGCTTTTAATTTAAATTTATTTGTAATTCATGTTGATAATGTAATAATCTCCACTAACATACCTGAGTATCGATACTATTCTGGGGGCTTTTGATAATATACTTTGCTCTTCCATTGTAGGCTCAGCTTGATGGCAGCTGATTACTTTACCTTGTGTCCCTAGGAACTTTATGCTTTCTGGTATCCTCATTACTACTTGGCAAATGTCAATAGATTAGACTGTGTCTAGCAGCAATTATAAATTAAGTGATAATTTTTCCCCTTCACAGCTCCAAAAACATGCTCAAGTCATCAAATGGCATGCTCCAATGGCCAGTGTATCCCAAGTGAATACAGGTGTGATCATGTCAGAGACTGCCCAGATGGAATGGATGAGAAAGACTGCCGTAAGTCTATTTTAGTCCTTGCACGTATTTAGTTTTACCCTCGTCCTCTTGCCATTTTAATCAATTTGTTAGATTTGTTGATGGACAGAAATGTCTACATTATACCTCTTGTTATTGAAATCTCTTGGCAGATTCATTTGTAGATTAGGGGTGATGTTCTGATAGAAGCCTATTTTTAACAAGATATTCAAAGTGTGTCCTGCCTTAGCACATCCAACAGTCAGCTTTTTTTCTTCTTCTTTAAAAGAAACTTTTAACATTAACATAGAATCCAAAAAGATCATTGAATACACTGAGTACAAAATCTGAAGCCGGGCTCGGTGGCTCAGCCTGTAATCCCGCGCCTTTGGGAGACTGAGGTGAGTGGATTGCCTGAGCCCGTGAGTTTGAGACCCGCCTGGGCAACTTGGCGAGACCTCATCTCTACAATAAATCAAAAAAAAATTAGCCGGGCATGGTAGCGCGTGCCTGTAGTTCCAGCTACTTGGAAGGCTGAGGCGGAAGGATCGCTGGAGCCCAGCAGGTCGAGGCTTCGGTGGCCGGGAGCGGCTACTGCACTCCACACTGAATAGATACACGAAAAAATGCTCAACCTCACTAATCACCAAAGAAATGCAAATTAAAACTACACCGAAATACCACCTAACTCCATTCAGGAAGGCCATCATCAATAACTAAAAAAACAACATATGCTGGAGAGGATGCAGGGAAAGGGGAACGCTTGTACACTGTTAGTGGGGAGTCTAACCTAGTACAACATTTTGTAGAAAACATTGTGGTGGTTCCTAAAAAGATCTAAAAATTTGACCTTCTATATGACTCAGCAATTCTCCCTTCTGGGAATATACTTGCAGGAACTAAAATCATT